AAATAAGTAGCTTACACTAGGAGTTGGAGCACATATATGCTGCACTATTTCAGTATCAATCGTGCAGTCCTACTAAAGTGTTTATCCCACAACTTTATTTTTTTCATTGAACAAAATATGGTAAAATTTTGGGGCGAGTATAGCTGTGATTGGGGTGCTACAGGTGCATTATGTCAAAAAAGAGCAACCTAGTCTTAACCAACAAAGAGTCGATACAATACAGTAAGAAAGGTATAGAAGAAAATCCAAAACCAAGTCAATATTATAAAAATCTTGTCCACAAGTGTGGCTGTGGTCTTGTGGCAATTGTCTAAATGTCAAAATTATAACGCTCTTTCAACACTAGATTCATACAATCAGCTCAATCCCACACCCCAACCTGCGATTGACTAAGCAAGAGAAGCAGTGAAAAGCGCTTTATTTCCCTCCTTTTTGATATTATTATTTAGTTCATCTAAGTGTAAAATTATATCTACCTGCATTACCATTTATTTATTATTGATCTTTGTACGCAAGTTAGGGAAAAATATGACCGTTGATTGCCCTAGCAATTGTTATGGTGAACATGAGGCTAAGTAACTGACTAATCCCTGTGTAAGGAAATACAGCACAGAACCAAGACTGCATTTTCACAGTAACAAAACATATGATTAAAAACACAACATTATTGATTTTATTAATGCATATTGCTTATACATCATAGTACTTGCAGTGTCATTTTTATATGCATAACAGTAGTTTTAGGCAGCGCAAGTTACAGTCAATTTGAAGTTGTTCCTTTTTTTTATTAACAGCGTTTTTTGTTTAATCTAACTCACGGTGGCGCTATACACCACAGTAAGATGTTTGAATTCCTCTATCCTCTGGTGTGGACACACGTTATTGTGCTCTTGTGTCTTGCTAGGGACACTACCCCGGAATCGCAGCTGATATTCGTGCTATGTGGTTGAACTGTCTTTGTTCGCTTTATTCTTCAACCGGTTAGAAACTCCTCGTTGATGATGGATTCGAAAATAATCCTGTTTCAAACGTGCGGATTTTATTTCCTGCTTCTCTTTTTGCATGACGCGTATGGAGACATGAGCTATTCTTTTCCTGAGGAGATGAAACGAGGATCAGTTATTGGAAATATAGCCAAGGATCTCGGGCTGAAGACGGGTGCGCTGTCCAACAGAAGAGCCCGTATTGACACCGATGGGACTGAGAAGCGTTACTGTGACATAAACCT